AAGATAAGAAAAATTAAAAATTAAAAAAATTATATAACATAAAAAATAGTTTAAAAAATTTGACAAATGGATCAAGGTGTGGTTTATATACACAATGGAACACTACGTGGCAATGAGAAAGAATGAAATCTGGCCATGTGTAGCAATGTGGATGAAACTGCAGTGTGTTTATTGTACGTGAAGTAAGTCAGGCAGAGTAAGACAGATACCATATGGTTTCACTCATATGTGGATCCTGAGAAACTCAACAGAAAACCAGGGGAGAGGGCAAGGCGGAAAACAGAAAGTTACAGAGAGGGAAGGAGGCAAACCATAAGAGACTTTTAAATACTGAGAATAAGCTGAGAGTTGATAGGTGGTGGGAGAGAGTGGAAAGTAAGTGATGGGCATTGAGGAGGGCACCTATTGGGATGAGCAGTGGGTGTTGTATGGAAACCTATTTGACAATAAATTACATATAAAAAAATAAAGTACCTTTCCTTTTAAACTATAGAGATATTGATAAGATGAAACTAATTCCGTTAATGACTCAATTATGTAACTCATAGTGTACTACGTATTACTACTAATACCTTTTTGTCTCATATTTTTGGATTTTTGGAACCCAAGTATAAATTTTGATGGCGTAAAAATCTTTTCTCTCTTGTATAGCAGTTATATTTATTTAAGTTGTGTAGTATAGTTATAGGCCTCAAACTAACTGACCAAAAACATATGTTGAAGTGTGAGGAAAACTGAAGGTATGAAATATGTGGAATCTGTGGAGAAATTCGTTTTATAATCGTGTTTATTCTTTAGCTAAACTTCTAAAACTTTGTGTTTTAGAATAAACAAATCTATAGCATAAACTTAGCATACTTTCCTCGAGCTCTGTTAACTCAGAGATTTGGGGGAAACACATAATTTTCATATTAAAACAGATATATATTATGGAATAGAATTCAAAACTACATGAATTTTTTAAAATGAAACAGATGACTTCAAAGAAACTTCACACTTGCAACAGATCCCTAAGGGTGTGTGTTCAATCTTCTCTTCCATTAGGGGCACTAGGGTGAGAAAAGTTTATGAAGCATTGCTTAAAGAATTACAGAATGGTTTTGTTTTGGTTTGGTTTCACTTATTTATGTATTTAGTTATTGTGGCCAGGAGGAGGTGGCAAGTAGGTAAGGTGAGGGAGCAGACTACCTAACTTTCTTCTAAATAGACATTCTCATATCCCTTATGAAGTTCAGCATCAAATACTACATTGTCATTTTATTTCC